CGCGTGACGTCATCGCGCATGCGCGGCCATCTGATTGATGCCTGCCGGCGGCTATCTTGGTGATGGACGCCGGCAGAGAGAGAACGGGACATTCACCCGGCAGGATGAGGTATGCCGCTGGGTCCCCTCCTCTCTCCTGACACTGTCGGGCTCTCGGTCCATGACCGAGTGCCCGACTTTTTAGAGGGGGTGACACCAAAATGACAGTCAGTCAGGCTTTTTTAAATGGGCATGTTGGGAACATAAAAGGTTTCATGGTACAGTTTTTAAACCCCCTCACGACTGACGACATAGAGTGTACGTCGCCAGTATCCGGGCTGTTTAAACAGACTCCCGGCGGCTTGTGCTGCCGGGACTCTGTTTAAACTTGTAAAGCCGACTGTCGGCTTTACAATAGAAGTGATTCTGGTGACTCAGCTGTCACCAGATCGCTTCTAGAGTCCCGTGAAGGCGCCCCCCCGCATGACACCCCCGCTGTGCTTTCCGGGCTCCGTTGCCCCTCCTACGGGCCCGGGACCGGCTTCTCTGGTGTCGGCGGGGAGCTGGAGATGGATGAACCTCCGTTTGTCGATCCCCTCCCCGTTCTATGGGACCGGGAGCGATGCAGATTGCATCACTTACGGGTCCCAGAGCTGTCAGTGCTGGGCTCCTGAAGTGCGATCTTTTGGACCCTTAGCATCACCTTAAAAAGTACCTGTCTCACCATCTGCTATCACATGGGGGGCTTGCAAACCCCCCTATGTGATAGCAATCAAAGTAAAGTAAAAAAGCAAATAACAGTTTTTAAAATGAAAATAAAATTAATCTAAAAATAAAAATGTTTAAAGTTCCCCGCCCCCGCGAGCATGCGCGTCACCACTTAAACACACGACAGGTGCGCCAACGTATGAAAACGACGAACGCGCTACACATGTTGGGTACTGAAGTTTGTCACCATTTCACGGACGCACACAATTTTTAACCTGGGCATGTTGGCTGTCTACTCGTTGTATCCTCATCTTTTATATTTTATTTTAAAAATGGGTATTTTATTGTGTTTTTGGGCATTTAAGTACATTTTTCACTAAATTTTGGGGTTTGATAAGGAGTTGCGCTAATATTGTGCAACATAAAAAATAGTAACTGCCAACATTTTATTCTATAGGGTCTTGGCTTTCAGAAAATATATCATGTTTGGGGGTTTTAAGCAATTTAAAGGCCTAAAATGTGGAATATAACATGGGGGCAAAAAAAAAAATGAAAAAAATGCCTCAGTCATGAAGGGGTTAAAGCAGGGGGCAGAACCAAAGGATCAACATGCACTTCCAACACTAGTCTTACCTGATGAAATGGGAGGTGTCTGGGTCGTAAAGACACATGAGGAGCTCTGCATCTTCTGCCATGTTACACACAAAGTTCTTCAAGTTCACATATAGGGTGTATGTGTGAGCCACATGCAGCATGGCCGGACTGCGGATATCAAGAGGCTGCAGCTGAGACTGAGAAAGAACAGGAACAAGCAGCTAGGTGAGTGACAACAATCTTTACATATGCCCTCTAGAATATGATGCTAAGAACTCTACCTTTTCCTCCTGGATCCTCTCATCAATTCGCCTTGATGCCATCTCATGCGAGCGGAACAAGGTAATGACGCAGGTGTCATCCGGATCGAGCATGATTCCATTTTCATCTCTTACCACAAGGTCCAAACCCAGTATTCTGCCAAGTGAGCATCAAAAAAGTGTAAATCAATGCAAAACAAAAGACTCCTTCAAATGTTATAGCGTACTTCAACCAACCCTTCCATCTATATCTCGGTGGAACGTGGAAGAGTTTAATCCCCTGAAAGGAATTTCAGCTGCCATAAGCAAATGATGAGCCCTCTACCAATTCTTGATCTGGCCATATCTTTCTGAAGAGTGGGTTCCACAGTCATCCCCATAGAAAACCCACTTGGGGTGATAAAACAGATATTGGCAAACACTGGCAGCATTTTGGTGGAGTCAGCTGCCCCTTAGTGGTCTTTCTACAAGTATATATAGAGAGGCCACTCCTAAGGGGGTACAATTCTTGCCCCATTCCACCCAAAACTACATAAAAGAAATGCAATTGTATGCACTTCTACTTAAACTTCAATGTACAATACATCTTCCACCCTGACTTCTCACCGATTCCCATAGTCAATTTTGGCAGTGACTTTTTTCCTCAGTTCAGCTAAGTCATCTTTAGGTAGAGTGCCTGACATGATCTGTGACCTCCAGTCCATCAGCTGCGACATCATTTCTTGTATCTGTGCAAACTGTGTTCTCTGGTTGAGCTGTGCAGATTACAATGACAGTTAGGCCAAGCAGACTATAAAACTATAACTTACTGAGGAAATCAAACTTACCACATAGAGCGAGTGCCATAATACACTCCATTCCCGCAGTGTGACTGTAACTTCTTGTACCAGAGGAAGTTCACTGGGACCTGTTGGCTCATGGTGCCTGGAACATAAGAGATGAAGAATCACAGTGTAGAACATATTATTTGCATGGGGCCACTGGGCTTTCCATCCCAATTTCTGACCACTGCCTACTAAGAAACTATTCAAATAAATGTATGGGATCAATTTGCAGGAATCAATGGAAGTCCACTTATACTCCAAGTATAGTAAGGAGAACATGATCCTCAAAAGTCTGGCAGTTCTATAATATGTATAGCTAAAAGTATCCAGCAGTAATACCCAATAACAGGGGGAATAATAATGTTACAGCTAAAGCGATGGTCTGATCCAATCAAAAGTTAGGTGACTAGTGAAGGATGATGATTTATGAAGTGTTACCACCATGGGTCACCTAACCAGGGATCAGCCTGTTTAGCAAGTGTAGAAAGAGGTGAGCATGCTGCCACAGTGTAATCTGTGTGCTGCTGGGGGGGTCTTAATAGAAAAATGGTCAATTAAGAAAGTCCTGTAAGGGCCTGCCATCTGCCTCTCCTGTGTAACTGATAATCAGCAAGGTCCTAATGTAGTGGGAGGAGAACTTAGCCAAGGTACTGAAAAACTGATACCTAATACTTGCAAGATTACATCCATACCAGTCTTGGAAATTATCTAATTTTAACAGATTTCCAAGACATGCTATATGTTTGCACCTGTCTGCATCTACTAGACAGGCCAGCACCCCCTGGCTTGTGGGGACCCAGGGTAATGCTCTAAAACCCATCTATGACTAGGTACCTCAATTCCAAATGGCATTACATTGCTGCATAAACCATGAGATTAATTATGCCTCATAAATGATTAGTACAGTATAGCAATCTAGGTGGTTCTAGGGATATTAGACAGCATGGGACTGGATTTATATGTCAGAGAGTGGTAGGTCATGACTAGGGCTTTAGGCGAGGTGGACAGTAACATCTAGGAAGAGCATTGGATGTAGATGGGCATTGGGGACACCCTGAGAAGAAGCTTGGCTAAACTGTAAGAACACAAAGGGAAAAAGATAAAGGGAGGATGGCTCCCTGCACCATCTCTGTCAACCGCTATATGTAAACAGCAGTGTCTACTGGTGACTCAAGTGCAGCTTGAAGAGTTGCTGTTGCAAATGCATTGTTCCCTGCATTGCGATACACAGTATTCGGGAGGACTGGGAACCTTTGACCTGGGGGCAAACACAGTCACCATACCCTGTCTCCATACAGACAGATGTCTGTAAGCTAGAGACAGTATATAGTGCACACATTGATTGGTGGGCATGGTGAAAGGTGAGAGTGCTCCCTTAAAGGACATAGTTCATTGTGACGCACCTTTGTACACCTTTCTTTGGGGCTTTCAGTATTCGTTTACATGTCTCAAAAGGGAATTGGTGCTGGATGACTTCTCTCAACCAAATGCTTGGATTACAGGTGTGGACAGGGAGCAGGTACCAATATAATGCTCAGCATGTGTCACTGAGAGCAGGACCTGCACTGTCTCTACTCAGTGCCACCCAACAGATCCAACTACT